TTGCACTTTCTCTAGTTTCTTTACATGCTTGGCTAGGTGTGGGTTTCAAACTGGTGCCGCATACTCCAATATGGGCCTAACGTACACGGTGTACAGGGTCCTGAACGATTCCTTATTAAGATGTCGGAATGCTGTTCTGAGGTTTGCCAGGCGCCCATATGCTGCAGCAGTTATTTGGTTGATGTGCGCTTCAGGAGATGTGCCTGGTGTTATACTCACCCCAAGATCTTTTTCCTTGAGTGAGGTTTGTAGTCTCTGGCCCCCTAGACTGTACTCCGTCTGCGGTCTTCTTTGCCCTTCCCTAATCTTCATGACTTTGCACTTGGTGGGATTGAACTCCAGGAGCCAATTGCTGGACCAGGTCTGCAGCCTGTCCAGATCCCTTTGTAGTTCTGCCTGGTCTTCGATCGAATGAATTCTTCTCATCAACTGCACGTCATCTGCAAACAGGGACACCTCGGAGTTTATTCCTTCCGTTGTGTCGTTCACAAATACCAGAAACAGCACTGGCCCTAGGACTGACCCCTGTGGGACCCCGCTGGTCACAGGTGCCCACTCTGACACCTCGCCACGTACCATTACTCTCTGTGTCCGTGTCTGTCTCTCTGTACTCACCTAGTTGTACTCACCTAGTTGTGGTTGCAGGGGTCGATTCATAGCTCCTGGCCCCGCCTCTTCACTGGTTGCTACTGGGTCACTCCCTGTGTGTGTGTGTGTGCGTGCGTCTGTCTCTCTGTGTCCTTCTCTCTGTCTCTGTGTGCTCACCTAATTGTGGTTGCAGGGGTCGAGACAGCTCCTGGTCCCGCCTCTTCACTGATCGCTACTAGGTCCTCTCTCTCTCTGCTTCCAGAGCTTCGTCATACCTCGTCTTAAAGCTATGTATGGTTCCTGCCTCCACTACATCACTTGTTAGGCTATTCCACTTCCTGACGACTCTATGACTTAAGAAATACTTCCTAACATCCCTATGACTCGTCTGAGTCTTCAGCTTCCAATTGTGACCCCTTGTTTGTGTCCCCTCTCTGGAACAACCTGTCTCTGTCTACCTTATCTATTCCACGCAGTATTTTGCATGTCGTTATCGCGTATCCCCTGACCCGCCTGTCCTCCAATGTCGTCAGTCCGATTTCCCTCAACCTTTCTTCGTAGGACATACCCCTGAGCTCCGGAACTAGCCTTGTTGCAAACCTTTGCACTTTCTCTAATTTCTTGACGTGTTTGCCCAGGTGTGGGTTCCAAACTGGAGCTGCATACTCCAGTATGGGCCTGATGTACACAGTGTACAGTGTCTTGAACGATTCCTTACTAAGGTATCGGAATGCTATTCTCAGGTTTGCCAGGCGCCCGTATGTTGCAGCAATTATCTGGTTGATGTGCGCCTCCGGAGACATGCTCGGTGTTATGGTCACCCTAAGATCTTTCTCCTTGAGCGAGATTTGCAGTCCTTGGCCACCTAGTCTATACTCTGTCTGCGGTCTTCTTTGCCCTTCTCCGATCTTCATGATTTTGCACTTGGCAGAGTTGAATTCAAGAAGCCAGTTGCTGGACCAGGTGTCCAGGTCTCTTTGGAGTGCTGCCTGGTCCTCATCTGATTTAATTCTCATTAACTTCACATCATCTGCGAACAGGGACACCTCTGAATCTATCTCTTCCATCATGTCATTCACATATACCAGAAATATCACTGGTCCTAGGACCGACTCCTGTGGGACCCCGCTCATCACAGGTGCCCACTGTGATACCTCATCCCGTACCATGACTCGTTGCCTCCCTGTCAGGTATTCTCTGATCCATTGCAGTGCCCTTCCTGTTATACGCGCCTGATCCTCTAGTTTCTGCACTAGTCTCTTGTAAGGAACTGTGTCGAAGGCCTTCTTGCAGTCCAAGAAAATGAATCAACCCACCCCTCTCTCTTGTGTCGCACTTCTGTAACTTTGTCGTAGAACTCCAGAAGGTTTGCCTTCCATGAATCCGTGCTGGTTATCGTTTATAATCTTATTCCGTTCCAGGTGTGTGTCTATGTGTGTGTGTCTGTGTCTATGTGTGTGTGTGTGTGTGTGTGTGTGTGTGTGTGTGTGTGTGTGTGTGTGTGTGTGTGTGTGTGTGTGTCAGCTGCTTCATAATAAACTAAGGTCACACACGGGTCAAGGTCAGGTCACGGCTCCCAGGTAATTCACCGTAGATCAAGATTAACATATTTTAGGAGACGTTGATGAATGTGATTATTCTTCCAAAGAATAATAATTTTATTCTCTTGACACGAATTTTGTGTTTCTCAAACAAACCAAAGTTTAATTAAAAGTATGGTCAATATTTACTTTGATTATGTAAATTTTCCAAAATTAAGTAGCTCTTATAATGGACACACTTTGTGCCTATGGGAAGAAAAATTTTTTGGTCAAGGCCCCCCCTTCTCCCCCCTCAAAAAAAAAAAAAGATTCTAACCTAACCAAACTTAACTTGATGTTTTTCTTTAATTTGATTACCAAAAAATGCTTCTTTTCCCAAAAAATAAAAAATATACATCACAACCCATTTAATATTACAGAATTTACATACAAAATAACGAACAGCTAATGAAAATATTACCCCAAAACAATTAACGCACAAAAACGTCTATTGCAAAACTCGCTTATTATATACCGTAAATTATCACCCAACTCCACTGATCAGTTCATGCCAATGCTGATCAAAATATGTCAACAAACAGATTATTATTATTATTATTATTATTATTATAATCAAAAAGAAGCGCTAAGCCACAAGGGCTATACAGCGTCAACAAACAGAGCAAAGTTGAAAATATTTCCCAAATAATTTCAATAATATAATCGGAGTCACAGAAAACTGAACAAACAACAGGGTGACTGAGCTAAATCTCTCACATTACTCGCTTTACAGGACGAAGTGCTGTTTTTCCCATCCCACCTCGTTTTCTGAACCAGACTACCAGCAGACGAGTCCGGGAGGTCACTCCCATGTTCCAGACCAGGCCTGGTTGACGGTCTGATCAATCGGACTGTTGGTGCTGGAGAAAATTCTTGTAACTCATAGGTGGGAGGAACGCAGAGCAAGTTAGGGGCAGCCGGATATCAAAGCCCCGACAGATTAATTGATGAATTGATTTGCTTTGACGTGTGTTGCAATGAATGTGATCATGGCTTGCAGGAAGGACACAGGCAATCCAGAGCTCTGAAATTGTTACAGTGCACATCCAGGCGTTTGCTCTGAGGCATCAGTACGATACTCTTCTGTATCATTATTTTGCGCGCTAGGTATTACTTTCCTCGCGCCATGGACATGTTGGGAAGTATATCTAAGCTCTAAGCGAACATTTAAACACCAGGATACGTGCTGTTTGCTTTGAGGTTCCTTCCCCTCCCGATGACTGCAAATGAAACAGACTTCTGGGAACATGGTTCATATGGAATATGCCATCCTAGCCCTTAGGAAGCAACATCATTATACTCTCCACAAGGTTACTTTGACATCTCTTTATTGGTACCAACTCAGATACAGTAAGACAGCGCGCCAGTCTGGCTATCAGCTGTCGAAAGATGTAGCATCCACCCGTCTTGACACCGAATGGCTCTCAAGTGTTTTGCACTTCAAACGACGAATCTATTACTCTACTACTCTGGAGGGTCCTGGACACTCCACCCGTTTCTATACTGGAAGACACTTTACACCCGTATACCGGCTCAGGTGACTCAGCGGCTTGTGAAATAAAGACAAGTTGATGAGTAAGACATGTTCTCTGCTAGTAGTTCTGGAGATTATCTTCCATGGCAGGTCTCAGACAAGGCCTCCGAGGTTAGAGGGCAAATTTTTACAGGATTAAGAAATATTAATTGGCACAGAAAGAAAGTAAAGGTAAGTGTATAGTGAATGTAAGAAGAAATCTGAAAAGTTTTACCCGTCATGTTCTTTAGAAACAAAAGATCATCAATTCTGCCAGAGTTTAAATGGACGGCAGCACCCAAGTGTTGTACATATTTTACTCATCAAATTATCGGTATTGCATACCATTTGTAATGTACATGAATAAAGGTAAAGTAGTCAAACAAACGCCTTTACTGGGACAACGTTTTGCCCTGTGTTCCATTACAAGTTTGTTCAGCATCAGCAACTCTTACTAAAAGCAACTCTTACTAAAAAAGTAACTCTTAACTTACAAATAATTAAGCACACTTGTAGGCAAACTATGAACTTGCATACAAACACTTCAGTGATCTTACACATAACTGAGCTTACAAAGCACCACAAGCAACTATATTTATAAAGCATCAACAATCAATGTTATTACAACACCATAAACCAAACTCTCCAAAATATTAGCATAGAAGGGAAAAAAAAATTGATGTAAACAATTAAGTAAACATATTTCCCAACAAACAAAACTAAATCTGGTTAAGATAAAAAAAAAACTCACTTTTAGAAGTTTCATTCTCAAAGATGATAATTAAGAAAATTTACTTCGAACAGTAAGACAAATTTGCTGCAATAAATCTTACCTTGCTACAATTTTTTTTTATATAATTACGGGGAAGAGCTAAACCCGTAAGGGTCATACAGCGCCTGAGGGATGAGAGAAAATCAGGTTTGATCTAAGGAAGAGGAGGCTAGCCTTAATTCCCTGGATCAAAACCCCCTGCACTAGAGTCTAATCTCCTTCGACTTCAAGTACCTACGTCTGTACTCATCTAGTTGTGTGCAAGGGGGTCGAATCACGGCTCCTGGTCCCACCTACGTCTGTACTTGCCCAGTTATGCGCAGGGGTCGAATCATGGCTCCTGGTCCTCTCAACTATCAACCAGCTTAACTAACTACTGGCCTCTACTACCCGGTCATGCCTCCTACTCTTGAAGCTGTGTTTGTCTCTATCATTTGTACTCGCCGAACCGTGGATGCGGGGGATTCGAACCTCAGCCGACACAGACCGAAGCTACATCGACAATTTTGGTCCCTGATCTTGAATCTGTGTACTGAATTGTACTTACACGTCGGAAGCGTTGGCACTCTCCTCGTAGTCGTAGTCGTAGTCCTGGATGTCAGAGTCGTCAGGTGGGGGAACGACCACCCCTGGCTGCGACCACACTGTAATAAGGACAAACAACAAGTTGTTAGTTATTATTTTACTGTTATCATTGCCGTTATTATTTTACTATTATCACTGCCGTTATTATTATTTTACTGTTATCATAATGTGAAAGCACTAAACTCGTTGGGGGTTCATACATCGCCCGGGAAAATGGCAGGTCATCTAATTTATCAAATGGGCAAAAAGTTCAAAACCCTAGCATCAAGAGCCCTCCAACCTAGAAGGGAAATTAATACATTACAAATAATGACTCTGAACCGTTAAAACCCTAAATAACTTGAATACATCTACCGGTCTAACTTAACAACCAGCTCTCAAGTTGCTGTTCGGGAATTAATAATTCATATGAAGTATTAATGCTCCAGTCTACAGAACACCCGTGACTTAACCTGATTCTTGTTTCCCCCTTCTCCCTCTTCCCCTTTCCTCTTTCTCCTTGGGGTTTTCTTCCTTCTGCCTTGGGTATTTGGTCCATTATTATTATCCCCCCCCACCCTCCGTGTTCTTGTTCTTACCCTTTGTGGGCCCCTAACTCCCTTGCAGTGCTTCTCTTTCTTAGTATTTGACTGACTCCATTACTACTACTACCTCTACCACTACTACTCACCTTCCTCTACTACCTCTCTTGTCCTGTTCCTGTCTTCTAGCCTATGTATACTCCCTTCTTTCTGTTAGTGTGACTTTGTAAATGGTCCAAGTCGGACCGAAACGTCGTCGTAAGCTCCTCTCTCCTATGTGCGGGTTATCTGTGTAGAATACTACTAATATATCACGTGAAATCATAATAACACGACTACAAACAAATCAGGGAACGGGTGGGGGCCAGTGCGTTAACCACTCGGCCAACTGGTTAACGCACTGGCCTGTGAGTTTTAGAACTCGCCATGGGTTCAACCCCCACCTGTTCCGTAACTTAACTACCAACATGTGTGTGGTATGCTTGACCCCCCCCCCCCCGAGATATACCTGTGATTCACGAGATTCAGCAGCACGGTAATACCAGTTATACCAGCATACCATCTGAAGAGCTCCGCCTCCATCACCTTCAATCCCCTGATGCCAGGCAATTGAGTGAAATTCTCTGCAACATGGTCCTTCACCCAGAGTCAATACGGCTGCAGATACACCCATTCTCGCGAGAATTTCCACCATGCGGGTGGGCTCTATGCCTGCCCGTTACTTCCTCCATCTCAATTAAGGAAGCAATTGGTAGGGAAATAAAGTGGGTGTGGTGCTGTGATGCTGTGAGTAGTGGTCGTGGATGATGGAAAGTGTGGTGGTGATGCTGTGAGTGGTGGTGGTGGTGGTGTGATGCTGTGAGTGGTGGTGGTGGTACATGTGACTGTTGTGATGTGAATGGTGTGGTAGTAGTGGTGAGGTTACGTTTTGACTAGTGAAATGACTGGTGTGGCTTTAGTGGCATGATGGAGATATTAGTCGTTTGGTGATGGCAGACAGAGGTGAATGGTATGACGTTACAGTACAACAGAGGTGAGTGGCATGATGTCACAGTACAACAAAGGTGAAAGGTATGATGATACAGGTTTCAGGTGTATAACTGTGAGAATAATAATCACAAATTTACTTACCGCACAGTTCATTGGGGGGATCACATACGATTTTTTCCTGCAGTCTACAATACGCAGTATTACAGGCAAGTATTAAACTAGCGATGAGTAAAACATGTGCAACACTAGGGATCATTAGCAACGAAACCTTTCGCCTGTTCTGCAGACGAAACGTTTAGGACCAGTAAAGCCAGCAGCGCAGGAGAAACGTTTCATCACTAATGATGACCAGTGTTGGAGAATTAGACACGTGTGCAACATCTGGTCATCTTCACTTGTATACAAATAAAGACAGCCAAATGTTGCACAAGTGTCTAATTCTTCATCTTGTACTGTAGACAACATGACCAGTGTTGCACACTGTGTCTTGTATCATTTATAACAATCAACTACCATTACAGTGGGCTACTTTAATTATAGGAAATTATTACTCATAAGATTATTAGCTTACGAGCCTAAAAAAAAGGGATTGTAGTTGACGATTTTAATACATTAAATAAAATGGTCACGTGCAAGAGGGTATACGTGGGTAAGTTGGATGCCATAAGCTCCGTCGTAAGGTATGGGAAATTCATCTTAATTGGGCATTATTATAAGACCTATCGTACCTTTCTCGTTTGCTCTTTTTTTTTTTTTTGGTCAATCACGCATCTTATCTTGAGATTAACTTAAGACGATTTCGGGGGTCATCGTTTTCAAGACTCCTGGCTGCCTTCAAGACCCCTGGCTGCCTTCAAAGCCCCTGGCTGCCTTCAAGACCCCTGGCTGCCTTCAAAACCCCTGGCTGCCTTCAAGACCCCTGGCCGCCTTCAAGACCCTGGCTGCCTTCAAGACCCTGGCTGCCTTCATATGTTCCTAAAGTCAGTTCGTAATCAGCAGGATTGTAGTACCTTCATTAAACTATGCACCGCCAGTACCAACAGCATAATTCATCAGACCATCAACCAGGAGAGCCGGTCTGAGACCAGGCTATGGGGGGAAGGGTGGTGACCATCGGAATGTACTATAAATAACGTAAGCAGGCACTGAGAGGCTCAACATTTGGAGTAATATTCTAGTTACGAGACTTGAATACAGAACAAATTATACCTACGAAATCAAAATACCACTCAAACTATTATAAACGGTTAAAGTCCCTCAAATTCACCAACTGTGACTTGACAAAGGTCCAGGAAGGATCGAAACGTCGTCATAAGGTTCCTCTCACAAGAGCGAGTTTTTTCGTTGTTCTAGCCACGGTACTGTGATGTTTCGTTCTTTATCCCTCAAACTGTCCTCCCTGAAAGGCAGGCGAAGAAGAACCATCAGAATTTACATTTCGAAAACTACTGGGTGGACTGGTTTCAAAACTGCACACACAAATTAATCCTAACAAGAGGGTCGACAATGCAAAACACCCCAATGAAAAGTGGCAGGTGTCTACCTGGAGGGAATTCAAAGGATCAACGCCCCCGTGATCCCAGTGGATCACGACCTGGATCAACCAGGCTGTTACTGCTGGCCGTAACAACTTGGTATTTGTACTGCCGAAACCTCTTCGTCTGCACAAGGCTTCTTCAGTTGAATACAGGCGAATATAACACGTGACAGTAGTGGTAGTAGGTCATCTTGGTAAGTAGTTGTCAGGCCCTCTACCTCAGAGGTCGGGGAACTAGGGTAAATTACCCCAAATGGATAATAAAAGCTCAATAAACATATAAATAAAACTGCACCAAAAAAATATTTTAATAAGTGAGGCAAATTATGAATTTTTTTAAACAAATAATTTTTACTCTTAATAAAATTTAAAAAATCGAATTTGTAGGTACCATTTCTTAAGCAGGTAATAATGTAAAACGGGTAAGGATTCTAGCAGCTGGCAACACCGCGAGTGTTCAGAACTGACTCGGGAGATGGCACGACAACCACACCTGCCATTATCGACACCACCATCACGTAACTTTTGGCCTAGTGTCCTGTCTCACTATCAACAACTCTCTCGGCTCGCAGTCAATCGAAGCGCATTATTTATGTTAGTAGGTTTACTACTATCGACGACCAAGGTAAGGCAGTGTTTTCGACGACCAAGGTAAGGCAGTGTTTTCGACGACCAAGGTAAGGCAGTGTTTTCGACGACCAAGGTAAGGCAGTGTTTTCGACGACCAAGGTAAAGCAGTGTTTCGTGATTTGTCATAATTATAAGTGCACAAAAATACTACATCATAATACTTATTTTTTATCATAATTTATAATTCCATTTATAGTTATTTAAAAGTACTCCATATAATAATATAAATGTTTGGCAGTTTTCTATTAATTTTAGATTCTATTCTATTTTTCGTGATGGCTATATGCGCGTGCGCGCTACAAACACCAAAAGCCTGACTGAACAATCAGGGAAGCCTGAGCTGTGACCCGGGAAACTGCTTCACTATCCTTGTACAATCCTCGCTGTGCTACTGTTCCTATACTGCCTCTCACCGTGACATTCCTTGTATCATGTTCACTACAGCACAGTTAACCTACTGTAGTTGTAAACTGTGCACTGTGACCGTGTAGATCACTCAGCGATCGTACCAATGAAATAAAGTAATGACAACTATCACACAATAAAAACAAAGATAAAATAAGCAATCAATAAAAGCATGAATAACAGCATGAATAAAACATGAATAACACTCATACCACGTTAAAATGACCAGCCTCAGAGTTCCCAGCAGTGTTGTGTAGCTCACTGCAGCTGTATACTAAATGCTCCATCAATGACCTCACTCATACTCGTGTCAACAAACTTAGCCTACCCGCCGTAATTCAAACCTCAAAGGCACTGTTTATTCATCTCTCTGGACACTAAAATGGTTGTTTATCAGAATTTAACCTCAATTATGAAGCTCGCCCCCTTCAACATGTCCACATATATTTACAAACTATGCAAATATATTGGATAACTATTTCTACTGAATTGATGTTTTGTTTATATCATGGCGACACTCCTGTGGTGGCAATACTCTACGAGAGGACCACCAACACAGCAATTAAAAACGCCTTTTGGAATGCCAGGCAATCAGGTAGGAGCCAGAGGAAGAGGAGCGAGCTCCAATTCCTCATATCAAGAGCCCTTCAACATCCAGGAAGCCTCATTTGAAAGAAGGAATTTTAGAATGGATATTACCAGCAGCCCGGATGGATCACAAACATTATGACATATCTCTCCCCCCCCCCCCCCGCCGTGTTCACAGTTATCAAGTACATTTGAGTAATTGTACGAGTAAACTCAACACAGTACAAACACGTCACTTTCAAAATGATAAACTAAATAACTGAGATTAAACAAAACTATGAATGGCATATATACCCGGTGAGGCTCGTCTCTCAGTGTATATACCCGGTGAGGCTCGTCTCTCAGTGTATATACCCGGTGAGGCTCGTCTCTCAGTGTATATACCCGG